ATGAATGATAAATAAGACTTAAATCTATAAGAAATTAGTGTGTATTAGCTAGATCTACAAAAAAAAAAAAAAAGGAAAAAAAACTCAAAATTATGCTTTTTCAATAAAATGTCATGAGAATAAATTACAACAATCTTATTTTTGTTTTAAAAATTAAGATTTTTTTATTTTTTCATAAAAATTTATTAAAATAACATAATTTTAAGATTTTTTTACTTAATTTTTTTACAAATATAGTTGATAAATATTTTTCTCAATCTATATTGTATATGATATTTGGCTAAGTCAATGGGATTTTGTTTAGCTATATATTTAGTTGTACCAATAATGGTAGCAATTAAAACATCCAATGCAAAACCAATTGGAAAGGAATTGACATTAACAATTATACATTAGGATAATAATTAAAAAAGTGTATATATATTATTATGTTTTTCTCAGTCTTCCAAACAAAATTTATATTAAATAAAAATACAAGGGGCACACAATTTTATTATGAACATGACTAAAAATTCTCCCAACATGCAAAATAATTAAATCACAAACACATAAATTCGAACTAAATCATGCATGTCACTTGATCCTGTATTTGTCTTGCTTTCTTCACAGCGTTTATAACATGTATATATTATGAATCAAGTAAATTTTAATTCATAATGTATAAATGTAATTTTGATTTAGTGATTTCGACTTTCCTCCAAAACCCCAATTTTCAGAAAGGAGTAATATCATATGAGGCCCGAAGGCGGGCATTCTTGACAAACATTATTAGGAGCTTTAATTAAATATAATGCTGTCTTGTGCCAATCCAAGAATGCATAAACAAAGAGTTAAGAGCCCAATCAATGCGCATGCACTGTACTTTTTCTGGGAAAAAGTCCATATCCTTTGTACACATAATGCTGCCCTCTAAACCAATCTTCCATTGAATTCATATTGCACTAAATCTCGCATATCTTTTGCATCTTTTTTTCTTTTTTTCTTTTTTTTTTGAAAGGCAAAAGTATTTATTAATTATGGAATACAGGGGGTATTCCAACCCTTTACTTACAAAAAACAGCCGATTACAATTAATCTTTTTCACCGGCTTCTATAAAAAAGAAGTCACAAACGTAAAGATCAGAAAGTCCAGTTCATGCTCTGTCTTTCTCTTTGGCTTTGATCTGCAAACATTTAATTGGATTCTTGCACCAATTTGATAAAGAGAATCCGTCCAAGCCTGCAATATTTTTTGCCCAGTAAAAAGATCCGGTTTGAACTAGCTGGAAAAAGTAATCAGTCTTTGCTTCCTTGTCATTGAAGATCCTGTCATTCCTACCCAACCAGAGTGTCCATACTAATGCAAACCAAATGATGTTGCACCCTTTATCTAGTGATTTTGTACCCCCATTCCAGTTGTGCTGTTCCATGACCGTCATACATGAGTTTCCTAACACATATTGCTTGCCCCACCACTTGTAACATTTCATCCATAAACTAGAAGCCAAGCTACAGTTAACAAGCAAGTGGTCGGCTGTTTCAGTTGATGAATTACACCAGCATATCTTTTGCATCTATGAATATACAATCTCCAAACTCATTTGTCTAAGAATTGATGGTTTCAGCTTCTTCTCTTCTTATTATAAAAATGAGGAAATTAGTATTTAGAGCACACTTCCAAGACCAGAAACTCTAAACAAAGTACTAAGACTTTTGAAGCAAAGGGACCGAATGAATATAAAAGCCGTTCACTTTTTGATTTTTGAATGGATAGAAAGGTCACTTTAACCAAATTGAAACTGAGATTTAAGATCCTAAATTTGAGCTTTATTATTAATATTTTTTACCTTGTCTGCCAAACAACCAAAAAAGAGGAGGGAAAAAAAAAAAATTTTGAAATGCACCAAGTAGCTGGCAACAGAGTTGAGAAGACAACTTACAGAAAATCATAAATGCTAAAATTCAAACCTGGTAATTAACAACATAATTGAGAAGTCAGAACTCACTTATAACATAAAAATCATTGGAAATATGTGAAAGACATACTTGAAGAAAGGTATTCTTTTTTTTTTTTTTTTCTTGGTACAGTAGGTATTCTAAGTTTGGTTGTGTTAGCTACTATAACTATAATAATAATTCTTCTAAATTTGTTAAAAAAGAACTTGTTGCTAAGAATTTATCACCACTATATGAGGAATAAGGATTTCCCATAAAGTTTCAAAAACTTGTTACTAAGAATTTATTAACCCCGGTGCAGTGATGGAGTCAAAATTTGGGATGAGGGCGGGCAAATGTTGGGAATAAAGGGGGGCTAAATTTGTGATACTTAAATTAAATTTGTGTTTATAAAGTATAATTTTCTCTGATCTATTTTAGCTGTGTTAATTTGATTCTTGCATAAAGCTTGGTTTGTTATTTTATTACCAAATAGATGAGAACCGAAAATTTTTTTCTTCCCAAACATAGAATCTGTTGAATATTTTCACTTAAATCAAACATACTGTCTGTTGAATAATTTGTTTATAAAAATTATTAAGTTAATTAACATAAAGTTGATGAAATTGAGTAACTAAAAAGGACAAAATGGAGTAACATATAATTGTAAAGATGTAAATTTGTGTTTAAAACCAAACTTTAGCATATTCAATGGGAAATACATTATCCTTTGAAATTTTTGGTGATTATTGAATAATTATCTAACTGTATTTGTGGGAAAAAAATATAATTAAAAATCTAAAAAATGTAATAAATTTAGAAACATATAAAAAAATTTATATGGCAAATAGTAAAATAAAATAAATAGATTTGATTTAATAAAAAAGTTTGAGTTAGATATAAAATTTTAATATTTGACTTCAAAAATATATATTAGTAATTAAAATGAATATTTTAGACTAACTTTTGGCACTACAAAGATGATAATCTAAGGATTATTTTAGAAATTGAAAAGAAATGTTAAAAGTTTAAAATTTTTCTAAAAGGTCATTTTTATAGTTAATAAATTAGCATTAAAATGTTACTAATTATTATGTCAATATTTTATTTTAAATTTAATGACAAGATTTACAAAAGAGTAATGATAATTATTTTTATAACTATTAAAAATGATTAAGTAAATAAAATAAAATTTAAGGATAAAATTCCTAAAATATAAAATTTGTGGACTAATTTAAAATTTTTTCCAAAAAAACCAGGGGGGCCATAACCCGCTACCTTAGCATGGCCCTACCATTACCTATGTAATAGGATTCGATATTCATATGAAACCAACAAGTGAGGGAGTTTATTGAGTAGGAAAACATCATATTGAAAATGTAAGAAAGCAACATATATATTAAATACAAGAATAGTTACTTTATCTATTATTAATTAGTTTTAAATTAAATACAAATCTTATATTGAAGCTATAGACATAATCTCCTACAAAATTTACCCCAATACATGTACATAGTGAACCAAGTAACAAAATAATAGAATATTTTCAAAAGTTCTCACAATCTTTAATTTAAATTGTACTTCCTTAGTTTATTTTTAGTAAATTTAGTTTTTTAATAAAATAAAAATTAATAATTTATTGATAAAATTTCATATTTATCTTTAATTAAGTCCTATTTAAATAAGATTTTTTATTTAATATATGTTATAATTATCTTTTTAAAATGATGGTAAAATAGAAATATACACATTTAATGACATCTTAAAAACAAAAAGTGGACAACTAAATTTCAATGTCCCAAATAAAAAATTAATTCTAATTAAAAAATAACAAAAGGAGTAATAAATTTATCTTTTGTGTTCCTTTAGAATTAGTATAATCTTAATGGCTATTAATTAATTATCTTTTATATTATACTCTAATTCAGCTCTAAATACGTGTACGGAAATAGGGATGTTCCGTAAGTATTATTTTGCAAAGTTTAACATTTCTAAATCAACATATCTTCAATTTTCAAACTACTTAATTAATTTTCCCAATGGGCTATAGCAAATCTAAAAAGTATCGTTCCATGCCCTGCTTGGCATTACATCAGCCAATTGGTGTGCATTCTGCAAAACACAGACACATTAACCATTCATGAACCAAACAGATCAATAAAGAAGAGAAAATGCTGATAAAAAAATAAAAAATAAAGAAGAGAAAACTCTAGAAAAAAAAAATTGTGGCCAAGAAGATAACAGGAACAGGAAAAATCAATTATTCATATTTCTATTTGTTAAAAAAGTTGGTGTGTAATCTCACTTTTTATCTTAATATTTTAGTCCTTGAAAGCAAGTTTGCTCTGAAGCAAGTTTGCTCCGCCCGATAGCCGCATAGTTAATTATTAGCTTCTTTACTTAAATTAGTCATTCATACTTCATAGTACTTCCACCATTAATTTCTAACTCAATTTAATTTTCTCCCGAATACTTTAATTTCAAAAATTGTTTCTCGTCTTATAATTGTACCATGTTCCATTTCCTATGGACACTTAAGTTTCTAATGCATAATAATTAGCCTATATCTAACAATTTTATACATGCAGGGACTCCCAAATGGACAGCATAAAATCAGCCATTGATATTGTGAAGGACGTTGGCCCTACCGTTCGGAGATATGTCAAGTATCAATTTTGCCCCAAAGATTACGTGGATCAATTCGTAGAAGTGCAAGAGAGGCTGGAGCGCCAACTAGATGACGTTGAGGCAAAATTAAACACACAACTTAACCAGCCCGGCAAGAAAGCAGCGAGCCAAGTTGACAATTGGCGGGAGGGAGTGCGCAAAGAAACTGCTGTAAAGGTTGAAGATCTGACCTGTAAAGGAGGCTGTTTCACATATATTTGCTCATCAAGAAAGCTCGATAAAAAGACTCAAGCACTGAATAAAGGAATATATATGCAGGGAGAAGATTACACTAATGATGGACAGAGTTTGGTCATAGATGATCACTCAATTGAGTATTGCAAAAGTGTATTAAAAAAAGAGCAAGAGCAGCTGAAGCTTCGGCAAAAAGACATTGAGGCAAGATTGGAGACTCAACGTATGCAACCTGGAAAGATTGCAAGGAAGGAAGTTGAAGACTGGATGCAGAAATCATGCCATCAAATTGCTATAAAGGTTGAAGACCTTATCAGCCAAGGGGAATGTTCTTCATCATCCAACCTCGAGAAAAAGATTGAAGAATTGAAGCAAACATTTAATCAAGGAGAAAAATACACTAATGCTGGTGAGAATTTGGTCGTAGATGATCACTCAATGGGGTATTGTGTACATGTGTTCAAAGACAAGCAAGGGAGGCTGAACCACCACAAGGAACTCATTGAAGCAAATTTGAAGACTCAGTGCATGCAGCCTGGAAAGATTGCAAGGAAGGATGTTACAGAGTGGCTGGAGAAAGCAGGCCAACTGATTGCCATAAAGGTTGAAGATCTGATCAGCGAAGGGGAATGTTCCTCATCAACCAACCTCTGGAAAAAAATTGAAGAATTGAGGCAAATACTTGAGCAAGGAAAAGAATTCACTAATGCTGGTGTGACTTTGGTCATAGATGATCACTCAAACAAAGGGGTTCCACTACTTGTTGAAGAATGCAGGGGCAGGGATGATATACAAGATCAAATTCTGGAATGGTTGAAGGGAGATGAGGTTACAAGAATTGCAGTTTCAGGAATGGGCGGTGTGGGCAAGACAACAGTTATGAAGCAAGTTCACAACCAACTCTTGGAGGAACCCAAATTTAATGAAGTTATTTGGGTAAAAGTGTCAAGAGACTTTGACATTATTGTCCAGCAAAGAAAGAGGTTTGATATTCTCAAGTTTCAGAAAAGGATTGCAAGTAGCTTGGGATTAGAACTGAAGCCCGAGGATCATGAGAATGAAACCAAGCTTGCAGGATTGATTTCACAAAGGTTGAGGCAAGGCAACTCTGTGCTAATTCTAGATGATGTGTGGCAGCAATTTTGTCTAGAAGATGTTGGAATTCCTATTCTAGATGGAAATAATGGTTGCAAGTTAATACTCACAACGCGGTTACACGAAGTTGCTCGTGCAATGGAGTGTGAGGTGATCTCTCTGAATCCTCTTCCACCTAAAGAAGCATTAGCATTATTCTTGGAGAAAGTTGGAAGTGCAGTGTTGTCAGATGGCAGAATTAAAGTAGATATAAAGCCATTTTTGGAGCAAATTTTGCAGAAATGTGGTGGAGTACCTCTTGCTATAGTGATAGTGGCAAAATCAATGAGAGGGAAATTACTTCCCTGTCATTGGAAGTTGGCACTTTCTGAATTTAGTAAACTTGAAAGCATTATTGATTGTTTGAAATTCAGTTATGAATCCCTAGAACCACAATGCCAAGAGTGTTTTCTATACTGTGCATTGTATCCTGAAGATGCTGAAATCTACAAGGATGAGTTAATTGAGTATTGGATTGAGGAGGGGCTTATATATAAAGAAGGGATAACTAGGGAGGCAATGAATTGGAAAGGTCATGATATACTTGATAAGCTGGTTGACAGTTGCTTGTTGGAGTTGGCTAGAGGCCATGAATTTTATGTGAGTATGCATGATCTTCTCCGAGAAATGGCATTGGAAATCAGTCCTCAATTCTTGGTGAAAGCTGGCATGGCCTTGGAAAAGTTACCAGAGGAGGATGAATGGAGAGAAGATCTTTTGAAGGTTTCTTTAATGGAGAATCACATAACAGAAATTCCTTTAAGCATGCTGCCTCCAAAGTGTCCTATGCTCACAACCTTGCTGTTGTCCAATAACAAGATTTCAACAATTCCAGAAGCTTTTTTTGAGCATATGCTTGGGCTCAAGATTCTTGATCTTTCGGACAATCCTGAGCTAAGTAGGCTGCCGAGTTCTGTTTCCAAATCGGAGAAGCTTACTACATTATTGCTATATGGTTGTGAATCCTTGATAGAGGTACCATTTTTATCCAACCTTGTAGGCTTAAAAAAGTTGGACCTTTCTTGGACATCAATTGAAGAACTACCCCAAGGCCTCAACATGTTAACAAATCTAAAATATCTTGGTCTTGGTGGAAGATTATCTGAAACACTTGATGAACCGCTACAAAATCTCTCCAAACTTCAGCATTTACTAATAAATGTCGAACCCGATGCTGAAACAGAATCTAAACGAGAGCCGATTGGAATTTGGGGGAAGCTTCAAAACCTTGAGAAGCTGGATCTTCAAGGTTTGGATAACTCAAATGCGATGTTTGGGGAAATAAGAGCCGTTGCTGAGTCAACACCGCTACCAGCTGGCACATTTTCCTCTCTTCAATATATTAGTGTTTCTTATTGTGATAAAATAAAGAAGTTATTCTCGGTTAGGTGGTTGGGATATCTTCAGAAACTACAAACTATTGAGGTTAATTTTTGTGAGCAACTGGAGGAGATAATAGGGTCTGAATCTGAAGAAAGAGAAAAAGTCACTCTACCCAACTTAGAAAGGTTGGAATTGGCCGTTTTGCCCCAATTGAAGAGCATCTATAACGGAGGAGAAAAAGTCACTCTACCCAAGTTAGAAAGGTTGGAATTGGAACAATTGCCCCAATTGAAGATCATCTCTAGCGGTTCTTTGATTTGTGATTCCATCAAGAAGATTGTAATTAAGGATTGCGAAGATATAGAGAGTGTTTTTTGGTCAGGGTTCAACCCACTTCCAAACCTTGAATATCTAGAAGTTTACTTTTTAAACAATCTGAAATGCGTGTTTGATGAAGAAGGTCTTGGTTTATCGCCACTTGAACCTCCCACAAGCTTTTTCTCTCTTAAAGAAATTAGGGTTGGTAGTTGTGGTCAATTAAAGAAGGTATTCTCATCTGGATGGTTGCTCCGCTGCTTCCAATCTCTTCAGACTATTGAGGTTTCATGTTGTTATCAAATGGAGGAGCTGATATCATCATCGGCACATGAAGAAGAAAAAGTCACTTTACCCAAGTTACAGGGCTTGAAATTAACAAGGTTACTCTTATTGAAGAGCATCTGTAGCAGCTCCAGTGTGTTGATTTGTGATTCCATTCAGAGTCTGGTGATTTTCGAGTGTGAGAAGCTAAAGAGAATTCCTCTGAATTTTCCCTTGCTTGATAATGCTCAATCATCTCATCCTCCTTCCCTCAAAGAAATTGTGGTATGGCCAAAAGAATGGTGGGAATCATTGGAATGGGACCATCCCAATGCAAAAGACATCCTTTTTCCCTTCTGTAAATTTCAGCAGAAACGGGGGTAGGGCACACCGAAAATGTAAGCCTTTTAATCTTCAATTTTCCATTTTTGATTCAACTTAGTAAGGGTTTTCATCTTTATGCTTCCTTTTCCCATTCTTTCTATCTTAATAAATCTCTCTCTCTTTCTCATTTGCAGCAAAATTGGAATTCGGCCCTATAACCACAAGAAAGTCAAAGGAAATCACATTTGCATTTGTCGTTGTTGCTGTTGGGTTTTCAATTTAATATAAACTTACTATTCTTCATTTTTCTTTTTCTGTGTCTATATTATGTGTTTAAATGTGTAAAATTATAAGTGGAAAACTAGAAATGTTTGTTTCTTTGTTATCTGTGTAATGTTGTCTTTGAAACTGTGTGCAAAAAAGACTTGAAACTGTATTTGCTTTTCTTATGTAATATGTATTTCAATTGATTGCATTGGCATCTCTTCTCAAATTTAATTCAGCAACATTATCATCATCAACAACAACCGAGACCGAGAGTTACTTTCATCAACTATATCTGCACGCTCTGTTACTTTCATCTTCTCAAAATCGCCAAAGACCGAATAGCATTCAGGGTAGAGTATACTCCTCTTCTTTTCTTTTCTTTTTCTACCCATTTTTTGATTGCATGGTTTGAATATGTCTCATTAGCTAAAGTAAATTATTGGTTAAACACTGTTATTTCAAAAGAGAGTTACTTAATGCTCATCCTTAGATGTTATTGGGTTAACATTCATCTGTGGGCAGGCCAATGTTGGTGTTGTGCTGGAAAAGCATGCTGGTGATGAGGAGCTATTAGATCACTACTTAACACAAAGCATATGTTGTTCCAATACATCATATTTGACACCTAATCCCATGTTGCAAACTCCACTCTTAAGAACAGAGCAAATTTTCCTCTGACGGACAAATGATCAACTGTTATGTGAGAAAAAACGGTTCTTATAAGTGTGTTTCTTTTTAATCAAGCATATTGGTGAAAGCACTATATATACCAGGGACATGGTAAGACCTATTTGCTTTGAAATAATCAATATTCACTATTTGAAGGTGTTGGTATCAGCAAGAGCTCAAATTTTTCTGCGGAGAGCTCCAAAATCCAATGTCAAGTTCACTATGATACTACTTTGAAGGAGAAGAGATTGTCCTTGTCGCTCTTAAATGACCATCAAATGGTATGAAATTTATAATACTATTTTGCAAAGGAAAACAGCGACACACTGACCACCACCGCACCAAATTAGTTGCGGTTGCAGTTTATTACATTGGTGATATGAACAGGAAAGTGAAAGGGTTATGTCCAGGCAGTGTATTTGACTTTGCTTGGGAATATATCTTGGATGCCTTTTTATAGGTGCAGTACAAAAAACTAGAGTAGATGTAGAATATGCATTTTGACAAGCTTGTCATAAAGTTAATCAAATCCTGGTACTTTGTTACATATTTGATGGCCCCATGTTTATTAGATACTAGTACCCCTGTTACAAGTTTATGTGTTTTGTGGATGCAAAAGAAGTATAGAAGCTTATTGGATAATTTCGTTGTTTATATATTCTAACATTGACCTACTTTGATTTCTAAAAACAGATTGAATCATGCATTGGTAATTTCTATTATTTAAAGTCGTGGTTTTAGACTCAAGACTTTTTCCTCATACATTTGACCCTCTCTGTAAATTTACTGACATAGGCATGCATGAACATGAATATATTCCTCAAATAGGATATGATTTGAAGTATACCCATTTTTACATTCACTTATTTGAAATTTTTAATAGTGTAACTGTGAATCATCCATTACTTCTTGTGTGCTGCCTGCTGCTTATCTTAGGCGCTTTACAAAAATCATGTTGCCACAGTTACATGTGTAATGAGACAATTGTAGAGGGAACCTTTAATGCCTTCTTTGTCCTTTTTAAGTAGTTTTCCCTAATTTGTACAGTTTTACCATTCATTTCCAGCTCTTGCTGCTCTGCCTCAAATTTGATTCCTAGTTTCAGTAGTCTCTATATTTGCTCTTAAAGATATCTGCTTTGGCCATGAAAAGATTGACCAGATTTCTATAGGTGACTGCTTCGTTGGTTACATTTTACTTCTTGCTGGGTTACTTGCTAACTGTGCTTAAAGGTTATTACACTGATGCAGTATTTTATTTATGGCATTGATACAGTATAAAATGTAAGAGTTTAAGAACTTTCTTTGTCCTTTTTCTTAATTTGGTTTTGCCATTCATTTTCATTCCTTGCTTTCTTGCCTCTTATTTGACACCTAGTTTCAATTTCGTTGGTCTCCATGTGTGCCCTTAAAGATATTTGCTTTGGCCATAAACAGATTAGCTCGATTTCTGAAGGTTACTGCTTAGTCGGTTACATTTGAATGCTCTAGCTGTTTTTATTATATAAAATGCTTTTTCTTTTTTTAAGATCAAAATGTGACTTGCTAATGGTGCTTGGATGCTGTTAATTTATTCTGATGCAGTATTTTTCACTTGTGGTATTTGAGAAAGTGTATGATGTTACACAGCTGAAAATATTTGCAAATCTATCAAGATGTTTGTTAGAAACAAAGTTGATAATGTATTTGATTCAAGAAGTAGTGAATTTTTCTCTTTAGTTTGACCAATGTTTGTATCCAAGTTTCATTTTGCTCCAGTTAGCAGCAATTTATTTTCAAGTTCATCTGAAACTTTCTCATGGGCCTATTTGATGCATGGGATTAATCACCAGTGATCTTTCGCAGGAAAGTGAACAGATTTTCAACGGGAAAGGACAGATCGGGATATGGATGCCTCCTTATAGAGTGTGGTGCAAAAACTAAAGTGAATGAAGAACAAAGCTATGACGATCTTGTCTTAAAGGTAACTAATTAAGTCTGTGTACTTTCTTCCACAATTAGTAGCCTTATGTTTTTATTAGACACTCTTGCCTTGAGACAAGTTTATGTGTTTGGTTGGATGCATCAGAAACAGGGAAGCTAATTATAATGTTCGATTTTGATAATTCAGTTGTTGATATACTGGTATACTCTTGTTTCTGTTTTACTTCTGAGACTTCAATTGATATCATATAACGGTTTGCAAAAAGTGCATTTTGATCGATGTGTATAATTGAAGGGAAATATGCTGTGTTCTAAAATGATTAACGATCATCAAACAAATTTGTTTTTGCCCATGTAATTATTTTTTATCATAAAAATAATTATTTTTGATATCCAAGTGTTGGGACGTGTATAACTGCTAATATTATTAAATCGTTTGATTCTTAGTAAAATTGATATAGTTTTTCTGCTTTTTAGGTGCATGGATAGGGTATCACCTGTCTCTGGCATTTGGCCATTTGGGTCACCTTTTAGTGGTTGTGGGTGAGACTTTAAGTTAATTAAACTCATCAAAATGGGTTTTGAATTTCTATTTTTTAATGTGCAGGGATAATCTAGGGTTGAGATGTAAAGATTACTTCCTTGCTAGAATTTGGTGCGCTGAACTGTAGTTGTCTATACGAATTACTGCACGGCTATTTGTCGACGGACTGAGGTAAGGCACCATGCGGCCTGAGGTTGGATTGTTTTTATCATCACCAAGTCCTCCCATTTTCAAATATGTGAAAGGAAATTAATTACAAATGCCCTGCCACAAGTCATCAATGCTCTTTCCATGTGTAAAGTACTTAATTTGCATAATATAAATTAGTAGATTATTTTAAGGAATCAACACCTTGATTAAACTGATCTTAGGCTCAGATTATTAAATAGAATCACGTACTGGCAGGAAGAATCATGTATATCATGCTCAATCCATTTTGCATGAACAAATCAAATCTAACATTTGAATTCTATTGTCTCGCAGATGAAAATCACCGACAAAAGTTTGAGAGATACAAGAAAGTACTTTCTATTGTAGAAGTTGTTATAAGGTGTGATAAAGTACTTAAATTGGATTTAGGGGAGTTAAAAGTCAGATACCTCATGCAAAAAACTAAAACTTGATTTAAGAGGAGGTAGGTTCTCCAGGTAAATTGGAAATAAGAGGATCTCCTCCAGGCATAGAGGTTAAACACACTGCCTTTGAATTCTATTATCTTGTAGATAAAAGACTCCTACAAAACTTTACGAGATACAAGAAAGTATTTCTTGCTGTAAAATTTGTTTTAAAGCATGATAAAGTGCTTAAAAATGTATGAAAGTTTTTATAAAGTATCAATATTAAACAGTTTTTTACAACTTGCCACAACTGCTAAATGAAATGTTCTGCATTTGTCTGTATGTTAGCCATACATCAAGTAATAGCACTTCCCTTATTCTATTACCTTATATCCTTAGAACACATGACAAATTTCAATACATCACCTATCTAGTTCGTGATGCAATCTACAAAAGTGAAAACTTGACCCAATATTAATTTCATATCAATATAAACTACAATTCTATACCATTGAAAGCACAAACTAGATGAAATATAAGTAATGGACTGCAAAAGACTCAGACATTTATGTTATAAAAAAATCACTTAATTAAATTTTTTTCAAACATTTCTATATCTATTTATGATATTACTGTGAAAATTTTGACATTAATAAACTGCAAAACATTAATCTTGAAGAGAGGGCCTCTTTTTCATTATTAAGTCTCCTTTAATGTAATAATTAGTATTATGTAGTCTAGTATAATATCAAAACTATAAAACACTGTTTTGCACTACTAATTACAATTTCAATTTTAACGTCCAGGTTCAGTTGTTATGTATTAAGTTTTTATGTCCACTTGAACAACAAGAATGGCACTGGAAAACAAGACAAATGTGAAAGAGCAATGAACGAATTTAGTTCCATGAATACCGTGTAAATATAAGGTTCATGACGCCCTCCTGTGCCTGTTCTCTTGAATTCTTCCAGCTTCAGTAACCTGCACACACCATTTTTTCTTGCTTTTTTTTTTCTAAGTACATTGATTGTTAGCTCCTTAGTATAACAGAGGTTTAAATCTCTGATCTTGAGTCAAAATGAAGATTTTTAAATTAATAGAAACCAACTCAACTAAACTTTTGTTGGTTTTGCTTTTATTAGCATCATCAGCATCATTGAACTCATATTAGACTAAATTCGGTAAGTATTTCTGATCAACGGCAACTGATTTTCCGAGTTTGACCAAAGTTGGTATCCTGCCATCACCGTTGATCAGTCATAAATAATTGAGGTCAATCAAGCGTGTCTATAATATGTAACTAAACACGTCCGTTTCCCCAAAAAAAAGCTAAGCACATCCATTGGGCCCAAAATACGACCAAATATATTTGGGTTTGCAATAATTTGGCCCAAATGTAACAGAACCAGCAATGTGGTAGAATGTTTTGTCAAGATCAAAGTTTTTTTTTTTTTTTTTCAGCCAAAGCTAAGATCAAAATTAATAAAGAAAAATTATATAATTTAACATGCTATAATTGATTCACTTATTTTTCTTATTTTAAGTGAAATTTGTCACAAGAAAATTAGACAAAAAGAAGTATCTCTTTTAAGCATTGTATCATTGAAAATATACACGTTGTTCCTCCTAGATCTTCCAGTAAAATAAGAAAAGCTAACGTTAATCGAGAAATTCCGATTAAGGCTTAAGTTTCCTTAATGATGAGTACTCGACTGAAAAGAAAAACTAAGTTCAAGGGCTAATTAGCATATCAAAATAAGTTCAAGGACTAATTAAAGGATTAACCCAAAACAAAAAGAAGAAATTTTGCAGAGGAAGACTGCGACACACCGACCACCACCGCACCAAATTAGTTGCGGTTGCGGCTCATTACATTTGAAGCCTAAGAAAGGCTCATTACATTTGAAGCCTAAGAAAGGCTCATTACATTTGAAGCCTAAGAAACCACCACCCCACCTCTTACTTGTCGGCAACCACACGAATGTCTGTCTCCCTTTTCGATTTAGTACCAGAAAGTATTGAACTTTTCAGTCCTTAAAGACGGCGACGACGACAACTGCAACGCCGCCGGCGAAGTCAAACTATGAGTCAAGCTGAGACTGAGAAGCACAATTGAAGATTAGAAGCCCCACGAATTCAGCAGCGGAGATAAGCTGAATTTAAGGCATCCCCAGAAGATCAAATGTTGGTCCAGGATCGGGCAGTGCCAAAATCACCGAAATCGCCGAAATCCCAGATCAGAGCTCTCCCCACGCTGCACCGGAAGCACCACCGTTTCTCCGAGGCCAAAAGCCTTGACTTTTCGACATGGGTTTCTGATAATTTCTACAAAATTGTTACAATATGTATCCTGATATTCACCGTTGCAGCCGTCTTCTTCCTCTACAACTCCACCGACACGGCTTCTTTCCTCCGGCTCCAGTCCAAGACGCAGCAGTCTCTTGATTCTATCTCTCTCCCTCAAATCAAGTGGAATTCGATTGCAACCATTAGTGATAAGTTGTCTCCTTACGCCAATTTTCGATCAGAGCAATGGATTGTGGTGTCTGTGTCGGATTATCCGTCTGATTTGTTGAAGAAGATGGTCAAGATTAGGGGGTGGCAGGTGTTGGCAATTGGGAATTCTAGGACGCCCAAGGATTGGAGCTTGAAAGGTGCCATTTTTTTGTCTTTAGATGAGCAAGCTAATTTGGGGTTCCGTGTTGTGGATTACTTACCGTATGATTCTTATGTTAGGAAGAGTGTGGGTTATTTGTTTGCTATCCAACATGGTGCAAAGAAGATCTTTGATTGTGATGATCGTGGGGAGGTGATTGGTGATGATTTAGGGAAGCATTTTGATGAAGAATTGGTGGGGAAGGGAGCTAGGCAGGAGTCTATATTGCAATATAGTCATGATAATCCTAATAGGACTGTAGTGAACCCATATATCCATTTTGGGCAAAGGTCAGTTTGGCCTAGGGGATTGCCACTGGAGAATGTAGGTGAAATTGGGCATGAGGAGTTTTACACAGAGGTCTTTGGTGGCAAGCAGTATATACAACAAGGGATTTCCAATGGGTTACCTGATGTTGATTCTGTGTTTTATTTTACCAGAAAGTCGGGTTTGGAAGCATTTGATATTAGATTTGATGAGCATGCACCAAAAGTGGCATTGCCACAAGGTATGATGGTGCCAGTGAATTCATTTAATACCATGTATCATTCATCAGCATTTTGGGCTTTGATGCTTCCTGTTTCTGTTAGCACCATGGCTTCTGATGTTTTGAGGGGTTATTGGGGACAGAGGCTTTTGTGGGAGATTGGTGGTTATGTTGTTGTTTACCCACCAACAATTCATAGGTATGATAGAATTGAGGCATATCCATTTTCAGAGGAGAAGGATCTTCATGTGAATGTAGGCCGTTTGATCAAATTCCTGGTATCATGGAGGTCAAACAAGCATGGGTTGTTTGACAAGATATTGGAATTAAGTTATGCTATGGCAGAAGAGGGGTTTTGGACTGAGAAGGATCTCAAGTTCACTGCTGCTTGGCTTCAGGACTTGCTCGCTGTGGGGTATCAGCAGCCAAGGTTGATGTCACTGGAATTGGATAGGCCACGGGCAAATATTGGTCATGGTGATCGTAGGGAATTTGTCCCTCAAAAATTGCCATCTGTTCATCTTGGAGTGGAGGAAACAGGAACAGTTAATTACGAGATTGGGAATTTAATTCGTTGGAGGAAATATTTTGGAAATGTTGTGCTTATCATGTTTTGCAATGGTCCAGTGGAGCGAACTGCCTTGGAGTGGAAATTGCTTTATGGTCGAATATTCAAAACTGTTATTATTTTATCTGGGCAGAAAAATTCAGATTTAGCTGTCAAACAAGGTCGATTGGATCATGTTTATAAGTAAGTTGCTGCAAGAATCTGTTTTTATTTTTACCTGATACTGTTTTTTCACTACCATATTAGTTTTTTCTGCCGCATCTTGTTTGGATACTGGATGTTCAAATTTTACTTTGAGTCTTTAGGGTTTAAATTTGTACTTTGTCTAAGCCTTAATGTCCAGTGAATAGGAGATGATGCTGAAAACGTCTATTTATAGAGTTCAAGGGACTTGTAGCAAAGGAATATTCTTGGTGGCTTGCAAATAGTTGCCATTGTTATTAGTGATTCTATACATTTCTTTGGAGTTTGGTTAGACTAGGAGAATTCAATTTCCTGGACAAGGAGATTTCAGGAGTATGATTTCCCTTATAATTCTGGGCATGGTTTGGGTAGAGAGTGAGCAGAGTTAGGTATCTGTTTATTTGTCTGCTTGTTTTTTTCACCAAATTAAAGAGAAGGCTCTAGATTAAATGTTGACAGTAAACCTTTCACCAAATGGGGAACAATTGTGTAGTGGAGATTGGAATTGGAGCCTAGTACCATTATCTTTGATATCGTATTTATATAATTACAAGGAGCTGCACTTTCAAAGGGATAGAGCGTAAAATTTAGCTGTACAAGCTGTTCTCTTTTATCGTTCCTTCTCACTTGGGATGGTGCTTCATTCTCTTACATCATATTTCGACTTTCTAGGTATTTCTCATTTTCCTTTTTAAAACTAACTTCTTGTTATATGCTTCTTGTGTACAACAATGATTGCATCTCTCTTTTACCCCATCAATAAACTCTCCCTTATTTTCCAGATATATGCTCTGAATTACAAGTTGACAGTTGGTCACATCTTGGTTGAGCTTAGACATAATTCATTTCAATTGCTATTTTTGTACTTGTTTTTAT